AATGGAATTTCATCAGCTAGTCAATAAGCAGGGGAAGCTGCAGCAGGGTTAGCTCCCAGACCTGGGAGCTAACCTCACTGCAGCCCTGCCTTTTAAATGTATTAAGAGCTGGCAGGCTCTTAATGCATTTACAAAACCTGAAGTGCAGTGCCTGAGACTGGGCATGAGCTGTGAATCAGCTGATTCCTGGCTCACACCAGGTCCCCCGCTCTGCCTCTGCCTTCCCAGCTAGATCACAGATTCTGGTCTCCTCTTCTTCTGAATTGGTTCTCACAGCTACTTGGCTCTCTGCATTCAAATCACTCCCTTGCATTTAACCTTTACCATGCTACTTACAAGGAAATAATCAACCAATGGCAAGTCTGGGGGGCTTGAGATGATAATTTTTATATATAACAAATGTAAGACTACATATTTAGTATATGTTTGAGATAGTGAGTCTGTCCATTTGTTTATTTGTTCAAGAACTCCTAAACGGGCAAATTAGTCGAAATAATAGTAAAGAATAAAATTGTGAAGCATGTAGAATAACATAATTTGTTGGACAAAAGTCAACATGGTTTCTGTAAAGGGAAATCCTGTCTTACTAATCTATTAGAGTTCTTTGAAGGGGTTAACAAGCATGCGGATAAGGGGGATCCAGTAGATATAGTATACTTGGATTTTCAGAAAGCCTTTGACAAGGTCCCTCACCAAAGGCTCTTGTGTAAATTACATGGCCATGGGATAAGAGGGAAGGTCCTTTCTTGGATTGAGAACTGGTTAAAAGACAGGAAACAAAGGGTAGGAATAAATGGTAAATTTTCAGATTGGAGAGGGGTAACTAGTGGTGTACCCCAAGGGTCAGTCCTGGGACCAATCCTTTTCAACTTATTCATAAATGATCTGGAGAAAGGGGTAAGCAGTGAGGTAGTAAAGTTTGCAGATGATACCAAACTGTTTAGGATAGTCAAGACAGAAGCAGACTGTGAGGGACTCCAAGAAGATCTCACCAAACTGAGTGACTGGGCAACAAAATGGCAAATGAAATTTAATGTGGATAAATGCAAAGTAATGCACATCGGGAAAAATAACCCCAACTATACGTACAGTATGATGGAGGCTAATTTGGCTACAACAAATCAGGAAAGAGATCTTGGAGTTATCATGGACAGTTCTCTGAAAACGTCCACACAGTGTGCAGCGGCGGTCAAAAAGGCAAATAGGATAGTAGGAATTATTAGGAAAGGGATAGAAACTAGGACCCAGAATATCTTACTGCCCCTGTATAAAACTATGGTACGCCCACATCTTGAATACTGTGTACAGATGTGGTCTCCTCACCTCAAAAAAGATATTTTGGCCTTGGAAAGGGTTCAGAAAAGGGCAACTAAAATGATTAGGGGTTTGGAACGGGTCCCATATGAGGAGAGGCTAAAGAGACTGGGACTTTTCAGTTTAGAAAAGAGGAGACTGAGGGGGGATATGATAGAGGTCTATAAAATCATGAGTGGTGTGGAGAGGGCTGATAAAGAAAAGTTATTTATTAGTTCCCATAATAGAAGAACTAGAGGACACCAAATGAAATTAATGGGTAGCAGGTTTAAAACTAATAAAAGAAAGTTCTTCTTCACACAGCGTGTAGTCAACCTGTGGAACTCCTTGCCAGAGGAGGCTGTGAAGGCTAGGACTATAATAGAGTTTAAAGAGAAGCTAGATAATTTCATGGAGGTTAGGTCCATAAAAGGCTATTAGCCAGGGGATAAAATGGTGTCCTTGGCCTCTGTTTTTCAGAGGCTGGAGAGGGATGGCAGGAGACAAATCGCTTGATCATTGCATTCGGTCCACCCTCTCTGGGGCACCTGGTGCTGGCCACTGTCGGTAGACAGGATACTGGGCTAGAAGGACCTTTGGTCTGACCCAGTACGGCCGTTCTTATGTTCTTATGTTCTAAGAGCTAGGACCACCAAATTTGGTATGTAGCTTCCTCTTATCCTAACTTAAAGCAAGGTCAGGGTTTGGTTGTGCTGGGACAATGTGATGTGCCTGGAATGCAACTTTTTCATAACACAGAAAGGGAGGGGGCTGCTAGCAGGGACAATTATTCTGTGTAATGACTACAGGGGGGCAGAAGGGGCTAGAGATTGGGACAGCTATAACCCCATTGGGGCAGCAGAGGATGGTAAGCTTCCCACCTGCCCTGAGCCCCTTCTGACCACTCAATCCTGACTCTAGCACCCCCACATATACTCTGAGTTCCCATCTACCCAAGCCCCTGCCCTGACTCCTGCACCCCCCACATCCACAGCCTCCTATCCTGACTTGAGCAAAGTTGGGTATATACGTTACCATTTAACCCAGGCCAATCAGCTGAAGCCTCTGTCTCTTCTATGTCTGTACAGCACTCAGGTGATACTGCAGTGTAAACAATATTAAGGGCCTACGCCACAAAGTAAACACATAGGCTACGTCTAGACTACATCCCTTTTTTGTAAAAGGGATGTAAATTAGACGTATCGCAATTGCTAATGAAGCGGGGATTTAAATCTCCCCCGCTTCATTAGCATAAAAATGGCTGCCGCTTTGAAATAAGGGATAAGGGATCTTTCGGAAAAGGCTTTATTTTCCGCAAGATCAGCGTCTACACTGGTGCTTTTTTCCGACAAAGCTCTGTGCAGGGAAAAAAAGCGGCAGCCATTTTTATGCTAATGAAGCGGGGGAAATTTAAATCCCCGCTTCATTAGCAATTGCAATACGTCTAATTTACATCCCTTTTACGAAAAAGGTATGTAGTCTAGATGTAGACATAGTTAATAGAACTCAAGTTAGCAGATCTTGGATTTGTTAACCTAGAACTTGAGTGTCTATGCTTATTTGTAACCCCAGGTTAGGAATTGTTGAAACCCTGGGTCCCAGTCTAGAGCTCCAACGTCTACATTGCATTATGTGCACCCATATCCCAGAGTTTCTAGTGTCCTCCCAAAATGTGGCCACTTTAGCCCTCTGTAATTAATGCAGTGTAGGAAAACTTGACAGTCTGCTAAACTTGACTGTCAGGAGGACAAAGAAAATTGGCCTTTGGGATTTTGAGATACTTTTGGTGGACTCCTAGAGAACAATGTGGTGTGATGGCATCTACCCTGCAAAGCAACGGGCTTGAACCAGGGGCTCAGTTTGACTAGGCTCAGACCTTTCACAGCATGGGTTCCCGAGAGTCTGGGACTTTAGATCTGAGCAATTGGTTAGTGTAATTTGTGTGCAGACAGAATGGTAGTAGGGGCCTGAGTTTGAAATATATTGCAGAGTAGACATAAACAGGATGTCTCAACAGGATTCACCAACTTTCCTGGCTTACAGCTCCTGCACTCTCTGAAGCAACCAGTGCTGTATCAGACCCTTTGGCTAATCTTGTACAGCATTTGCATGGTAATCTCTAGACCAGAGGTGGGAAAAATATGGACCATGGGCTGAATCTGGACTGCCAAGCCACTGAATCTGGTGTCTGTGTGCTGCAGGAGCCTCAGCTAGACTCCCTATCTACCCCGCTCCCTTATGCTGCTCAGAGAAGCTTGCTGCCATGGCCATGTGCTTCTGTGAGTGGTGCAAACCCGGGGGGAGAGGGAAAGGGGCTCTGCATGCTGCCCCCACCCTCAGCACAACCTTTCAGCACTAATTAACCAGAAACTGGCCCAAAACCGGCCAATGGAAGCTGACCGCTACCAAGATGGGCAGCACGTGAAGTGCCCCTCTCCCCAAGCTCACAGAGTTCAGAGCAGCAGATGGCCCCCACCAGCCATTCTGAGTGACCTATGGGGGCATGGAAGGCAGAAAACATTACTGATGAGCCTAGTAGGCAGGGCTGCTGGCCAGCAGCTGTCCAGGTTAAGTGGCTCCCAGCTAGATCCTGCTTCTGGCACCTAGCCCCTTCTTGCCCCCAACTCTGTGCCTTCCTTCCTGCCCCCCAACCCACACAACCCAAATCCTCTGTGTCCCTGCTACTAAATCCAGACCCACTTCCAGACTCTGTTCTCTTCCTTTTACTCCTCCTCAAGGTCACAACACCCTCACAGATATTGCATCCCATCCCCTATACCCATTCACAATCCAAACCACTGCACCCCTTCCTTCACCCAAACTCCCTCCCAGATCCCACACCCCTTTCCTTACCCCAATCCCTTAATCTAAGATCCCTTCTGCACCCAATTTCCATCCCAGATCCCGCACCCCCTCCATTAAAATCATGGAAGGTATTACCAAATTCTTGGCGTGTCTTTCCACCCCCGCCCCCCCACATCAAAAACTATTGCTCACCCCTGCTCTAGACAATCTGTTCCTCACCTGCTTTTTAGCATAGTACAAGGCTTATGTAGAGTCATGTTGCTTCCTAATCATAGTATCTCAACCCTACAAATAAGTGTGTCCAGAAGGAGCCATCACAGACTCCTGATGAAGTCTGAGATTTCTGTGAATGGCAGAACTCCATGTAGTTACCCTGAAACTGACAAATTTTCACAGCAAAAGGATTTTTAGGCTTCCGCATACAAGGCTAGACGTTCTACTTCTCATTGGGGAACTTGCACATGGCCCTGGGATCTGAATTAAGCCTTGATCCCAGGTCTTAGTTAGAGCATCTGCCTTCATGTCTACACAGCAACATTATTTCAAAATAACTGCTGGCTGCGTAGACGTGGTCTAAGTTATTTCGAAATAATGTCAAAATACTGTCAAGCTGGAGGTCTTCTTACTCCAACCCCTGTAATCCTCCTTGTACAAGGAGTAAGGGAGGTTGGAGGAAGAATGCTCTGTTTCAAAATAAGTGCTGTGACGTTGCTCAATGTGAGTAGCTTATTTCGAGATAAGCCCTGCTGTGTAGACACACCCACAGCAATCAGAGATCGGACTCAGGATTCAACAAAGCCTGACACAGGCCCTGGAGTCTATGTAACCCTATAGTTCTGGGTTTCACTTGGTGTATAAGTTGAAAATACTTAAGCTAAAATGTTATCCCTTTTTCTTTTCAGATACTAGGATGGCTCTGAGAGCTAAGCTCCTATTTAGCGTCCTCTGCCATGTGGCCTGTACTCTTGTGTATGGCTATCCCACTGATCCTGGAACTGAGTTCCGCTCCGCGTTCTCTGTGGCTAGAACCAGCAGCATGGAAGGGAGTGTTGAGATGGTCATCACCTTTGACAAGGTCTATGTGAACATTGGCAATGACTTTGATCCCAAGACTGGGATGTTTAGGTGTCGGATCCCTGGGGCCTATTACTTCTCCTTCACAGTTGGGAAGTACCCCAAGAAAAACTTGTCGGTCATGCTGATGAGGAACAGGAATGAGGTGCAAGTGATAGTGTATGATGAGCATCACCGGAAAGAGCGGAAAGTGGCTAGCCAGAGTGCCATGCTGCAGCTGGACTATGGAGATACAGTCTGGCTGCGTTTACATGGGGACCCTAAGTATGCCCTCTACAGCAATGTAGGCCCATACACAACTTTCAATGGGTATCTCATCTATCCAGATACCTCGGCCTACTTCCAAAATGGTGTGGTCTCTCAAGAGCTGGGGGGAGTAGTAGGACTGCCCCATCCAGCCATTCATCAGCTTTCAGGAGAGCAGAATGAAGCCTCAGAAGGACATATGTTGTCCGATCAGCCAGCCAGAGAACACGACCCTCGCTCTGCATTTTCTGTTGCTCGCTCCCAAAGCCTCTTGGGGACAGATGAGAAGCAAACCCAGCATGAGCCAATCACATTTGACACAGAGTTTGTGAACATTGGAAAGGATTTCAATTCCTCAAGTGGCATCTTCTTGTGCCGCGTGCCAGGCGCATATTACTTCTCCTTCACCATTGGCAAAATGCCTTTTAAGACCATGTCAGTGAAACTTATGAAAAATCACAATGAGGTTCAGGCCATGATCTATGATGACAACCACTCCAAGAGGAGGGAGATGCAGAGCCAAAGCATTATGTTACCTCTGCATTACGGCGACACTGTCTGGCTCTACAGCCACCAGCATGATGGCTACGGTGCCTACAGTAACCATGGCAAGTACATCACCTTCACAGGGTTCCTTATCTATCCAGAGGCTCAGTCAAAGCCACCCCCAAGTCCCAGTTCCCCCACCAAGGTAAAAAATCGAAATGCAGGTGTGAAAGGAACATAAAAGAAGTCAAGATACAGTGGACTTGGGTGCAGGTCCTGGTTGAACATCAACCTCTACTTGACAATGTTAAAGAGCATGCTAATATGTGTCCAGTGCTTTCTTTATGCTGCACGCTCGTGTCCTGACTGCAGGTCCATTGCTGTTTCTGTCATTCATCTGTAGAATGATCTTTGCAGGGTATAGTGTGTGTCCAGTGTTACCATTCAATTTAAGCATAAAGCATGAGGTAGTTTGGGGGCAAGAGCAGTGAAATTAGGTGTGATTCAGGGAGCCACTGCAAAAATGCTGGAAGACTGACCGAAGACAACTCCACCCAGAAGGCACAGCATCTGGTGACATCCAGAGGAGGCCTGGGGGAGGAAAAATGTAACTGAAACCAACGTAATAAAAATACAAAAGAAAATGTGCAAAGTTTGCTGAGACACACTTTTTGTATAGGTGCAGGACTTGTGTTTATAGCTTGTGTGTATACCTGCCTGCCACACTGATTCTGGTTGGGAGAGAGGTTCTGTGATTGTGTGAAGTACTTTGTGTTTGTAGTATTGTGGAGACTGTTAAACAGAGTTAGACTGTATATCACTGCACCAGAGCGTTTGTGTTTTGTGGGAGGCCAGAGAACTGGAGGTGGAGGACCAATGTTGCCATTTATTGTGAATCTCATAGTATAATAGCTGGTGTTTTGCTTAAAGCCTCAGTTGCTAGAATCCACAGACTGTAAATCCCAGCTTTCATAACAGCCCCTCCCACCAGTAAGTCTCTAGTTCTTGTAGTTATGGAGAAAAGTTTGGAAAAAAAAAACTATGCATGCCATAAAAGCTTCTAATCAAGAAGGCAAGTAAAAACAACCCAAAATGTGTATTTTTAAAATCTCCTGATTTGTGGGGTGTCCAGCTCACGATTTTTTAACTTTAAGGGATGGTAATATACATGTATGTATGGCTGTATAATGTGATACTGATTGTACTGAACTGTACCACTGCCAAGAAATGGGCATTCTTAATATTATGGTATGGCTAGTCTTCATAATACAACATTTTGTTTCCTTGTTGCTCTACCTATCCCTGCCTTATGGTGGTGGCGTCCCCCTACTTCCATGGTATAAGAGATTATTTCTCTATCTATGCTTTCATAGTCGGGGGCTTTGTCTAGACTGGCCAGTTTTTCCGGAAAATCAGCCGCTTTTCCGGAAAAACTTGCCAGCTGTCTACACTGGCCGCTTGAATTTCCGCAAAAGCACTGACTTCCTACTGTAAGAAATCAGTGCTTCTTATGGAAATACTATTCTGCACCCATTCAGGCAAAAGTCCCTTTTGCGCAAAGCTTTTGTGCAAAAGGGCCCGTGTAGACAGCTCAGATTTGTTTTCCGCAAAAAAGCCCCGATCGCAAAAACAGCGATCGGGGCTTTTTTGCGGAAAAGCGCGTCTAGATTGGCACGGACGCTTTTCCACAAGAAAAACTTTTCCGTTAAAAGCATTTCTGGAAAATCATGCCAATCTAGACACAGCCCTTATCTT